TTAACATATATGCAAAAATGAATTGCATTTAACATTAAAAAAAAAAGAACAAATATCTGCCAATAGCTGCAAAATGAACTTTTTTTTTTAAAGGTTAATCCAGGTTTCATACCCCAGCTATTTGTTCTTGTTCCATAAACTCATTTAATTTTGTTCAATTTCTCAAAACGATACTTCAAATCTTTATTTCACATCACAAGTATAATAAGAATATTTAGATACTTGTATTGTAATCTATGCAACATTTCATGCCACAACTTGAATTTAAGACATTCTGCTCTAGTCTAAAACCTTTTTAAGGCCTTAATTTGTGGAAAGGCAAATTAAGAGTTAAGACCCTCAGAAATGTTAAAAAACAAATTTTTTTGGGGTCCCACTGATTTCTACTGTATTTTTGTCCAGACAATGGAAGTCAGTGGTTACTAACATTCTTCAAAATATCTTCTTTTGTGATCAGTCTCCACAGCTTTCCACAGAGACCGAAATCCACCGCTGACCTGAGGACAGATTACATAACGCACAACATCCAGACGCTGCACTTTCTATTTCAGCGCACCGACCAAACACGCCTGATTAGTCAATCAAACCACAACAGCATGATACAAACCTCTGGCCCGGGTGCTCGGGTAGATCTTCTGCGCCTCGTACAGTAGCTGCAAGGCTTTCTCTTTGCGTCCGGACCGCAAACACAGCTTGGCTTTTTCTATCAGCCTGTCAGACTCCTCTCTGTCCATCTTAAACTGTGCCATTTCAAGCAACGACACCGCAAACCTGCATGAAATGACTACAATGGACGAACAGAAGCAAAATAATCAAAACAAAGCGTGTTTGAGTGTAAAAACGACTCGCGATGTTGTTGACATGAAGCTAAATCTAGTGCGTTATGCTAATGCGACCACAACAATTTAACTTCCGACGTTAGACATCTTCCGCTCTCTTAACGGACACCGCGACTTAGTCGGATATGAATTTATTATCAAAACAATTCATGTTTGACCCTCTATATTAGATTTGGCTTCGTCATTGTAAAATGTGCGAGAAAGACAGAAATGCAATACTGCTTGCCATCCATCGCTAAACGGAAGCG